TGTAACAGTCATTCATGTCGCACTGAAGACACAGGGTCGCGGGCTCCTCGCCCAACGAGGGGCTCCCCTTTTATCAGCCGTGGTCCGCCAGGCAACGCAGAGCCAGATCGCCGCCCCCTCCGTCGCCGCCGCCGCCTCCACAACAGCAGCCGCTAGCTAGTGCCTTCCTGCTGGGGTGTCGTACGGGACTCACCGCTTTCATGGTGCAAAGAGGGAGAGAAGCAGGCGGCAAGAGCCGTTGGGCGCCGGAGCCAAACAGCTCCCGCCCGCAGGGTGACAAGGCAAGACAAGAGGCGATGCAGCGCTCTTTTGCTGGGCAAATCAAGGCGATGAAGAGACCGCTCACGATCTTCGGATTTTACAAAAAGGAAGGAGGGGGGAAAGCAGGGAGAGTAGAAAATTACAAATCGTGGAGGTGGGGGTGGAAATTAAAAAAAAAAAAATCCAGCCGCCACCTACCCAATCAATCAGTCTGCCCGATCACTTCCCCTTCCAGCTCTCACTCCGATCCCAACCACCTCCGCTCTGCCCAGTTTGCTATTCCGCTTTATCTATATATAGAGCACGGGGTACAGGTTGGGCGGGGCGCACACGCTGCCCGAGTCCAAGGGGAGGGAGAGGGAGAATAAGCGAGTGGGTGAGACACAAGACTATGGGAGGGATAATGTGGACATTAAAAAAATGAGGCACGAGAATACGGCGTTGCGCTTTAGCCAATCGGACGCGGCCATTTTCTCCGTGGAACGTCGCGTTAGCCAATGACAACTGTCTCCATTCTGTCAAACGCTGTATAGGATCTCGGGAAAGGGAGGTTGTGGAACCCGAGGGAGGAGAGAGGGACGGAGGGAGGGAAAGAAGAAGTTCCTTGTGAGGAACTGCGGGAATGCGAATGGAATTCAGTCGGGCTTGCCTATGGTTTGCCTGGCTCTTGGGATCCCCAGCGGCTCGGGGAGCCCTTGCAACAGTCCGCGCCGCGACAGGAGCGGCTCCTCCTGAGATCTGGATCTCAAGTCGAAGAGAAGCAATGGCTGATGTGATCACTTCTGTTTTTTTTCTTTTTGTTCTCAACATTTATTCTTCAGGCTGCCTAATTATCACCTCTCCAGCTAGTCCCCGAAGGAGACGGTGGGAGACAGCGGCTTCAGGCTTCATTCCACGTCTTTTTATGCTTTCGAGCCCCTCCCGCGGGTTTATCGTTGACACTCAGAATATTTTCCTTCACAACAATCACTTCTGAAGTCCGGAAAGTTGGCGGGAATTTGTGGTGGTGGTGGTGGGGAATAGAAAGTTTTGTTGTTGTTTTTTGCTAAGAGAACCAATTGCATTGCTACATTGAATAAGAGCACATCACGATTAAAAATTCATGGCGGGGGGGGGGAATATTTAAAATTCCTTAGTGCCATATAATAATCCATGTGATGTAAAATTCATACCTATAACTTAATTTACCTCATTAGTGCCCAGATCACGTATTTGTTCAATGTGCCATTTTAAATATGACGCTGGAAATGCCTGAATTTCTGTGCTTTGAATCAGTGTGTTAAAATGACTGTGGAAATAATTGTAGTGGACTGCAGTCTCTTAATTTAATGCCTTGCCGCAACTTTCGTTGAAGTCCTCTTGCAAGATTCCAGATGAAAACCTGGAAATGTTGACTAATGAGCAAAAACTTCATTGTAATAAATAAAAGGTCACTTCTCCTTTTTTAGCCATGTGAGCATTTTATACTCATGGAATCATGTAATTCTGAAAGACTAGTGAAGTACATAAATAAATGCCTTGGATCTTCTTGTATAGTCCACTTATGTTGAACTCAGAAAAGCCACTCATCAGTGTGGACTCCAGATTAAACAGCCTACATGCTCTGGTTGATCAGATGCTATGCAGAGAATTTTGTTTTTTAATGGGAGTCATATATGCCTCTTTCACTCCACTTCTTGATACTGGAATGCCCAGAACTCTAGAATGCTAAAAGGCTACTAAATGGAAACTGGGTGGGAGCATGAACACACCCACATACATGAACCCCAGTAACAAAAACTGTAGCTTGTCTTGAAAATTGCATTTAGGAACCTACATTTGACAAGGAGATCTAGTAAAATCAGCATGCAAAATTAAGATGCAAAGCACATAGAAATCAGATAAGGAAAAATACTTTTAGAATTTAGTCAGTGGATTCCAATATATATGTAGGATCTGGCTACTCTTATCTGAAATGTCAGTATTTAATGAACTGTGTTTGGATGTTTCCCTAACTTCAGTAGAACATGGCTAAAGACAACAGCATTAGTATGGAGGAGCAAATATTTATCAGTGAACTCTGATGCAGAATTGGATACGATTCACTTTTTTTTTTTTAATTTGGTGACCTCTTTGGAAATATAAGTAGCTTTAATAAAGTTTTAATACATTTCTTTGCAGTAATAACTTTTCCACAGAATCTTGATAGTGTGAAGAATATCCCATGCTAAATAAACATGATTTCTGGATTGAGTAGGTGAACTATATCTCACTGTTCCAATCTTATTTAGAATCTGTGTGAAACTAGATCTATTACTGTAGTTAATTGTTTTGATTGTATGGGATAGGCTCTTAGAGCTAATCTGATTCTACTTTAGGATACTGGTGGGAAATCCCAGTATGAATCCCATTTTCTTGGTGCCAGTCTGAACTGAACAGATGTGCACATATTTTGAGGCATCTTAATGTTGAACTATTCTTGAAACTGTGCAACAAGCATGCAGGAGTAAAATGTCTGAGCATTTGTGAAGTCTGATAAAATCTTCTAAATTGTTTGGCCTAAAAAACTTATTTCCCGCCTCATAGTCTGTGTTCAAATACATAGTACAGATTAGAATAATTTGTGTTCAAATATTTAAGTTGAAATGTTTTGAATGCGTAAATTTGTTGATTAGCCATACTATTTTTTCTTATGATATAATTAAAATATGCAACTATCAAAGTGCACAATATTGAATTAAAATAAAATACCCAGCTTCCTATATTCAGTTTATATTGTAAATCAAGCATACTTTAATCAGCAAGAGTACAGTATATATTTGCTGGGGAAGTTTAGGTGTAGAAGTCCATACTATTGCCTCTTGAAAACACTTCAAACTTGTGATAAGCTGCTATTTATCTTTTGTATCTTGTTTTTGTTCACTTTCACTGATTTAAATATAAATTTAAGACATTGTTCAGAACACAGTACTAGAAAGATGATACTGTAAATGCAGGAAGCAAGCAAGCAAGCAAAGAGGTGGAAAAAAAAGTTTAATTCATTTTTAATTCATTCTGTTTTCAATTTCTGTATTTTTTCAGTGGGTTTTAGGTGTGTTGGGCATCTAAAATGAATTAAGCTTTTCAAGATGCCAAACTGTGTTCCAATTTTAAGAGTTTATGCTTGCATTTACTGTCTGGTTCATGTATAATGTTAATTATGGTTTTTTGGTTTTGGCTTAATGTGCAGACCCAGTCAATTGGGGACTCATCAAACTATGTTAAACCAACTGTGGCACAGTACAATGTGTGAGACAGGTCTGTCTACATGGGTGCACGTACATTAAAAATACTTACAGGAAGTCCTCGTTTAGCAATTGCCTAATTTAACAACTGTTCACAGCTATGACAGTGATGAAAAAGTAACTTTGTGACCAATGCCTGCATTTATGACCTTTGCAGATCTGTAAAGCAAAGCAACGCTGAAGTAAGATTGTAAGCACAATCTTGGTTTCACTTAGCAACCACTTTGCTTAACAACTGAGTTGCCGATCCCAATTGTGGTCGCTAAACGAGGACAAGGACTACCTATATATAATTTCTTCTATTTCTAATAGTCATAGTGGAGCATATATTCTTATGTAGCATCTGGGCTTAAAGAGGAGGTTATCAGTGGCATGGGGTGGGGGGAATCCTTATCCATTGAGGACTAAGCATGCTTAGTATACATGAAATGCTGACTATGGTGGGAGGGGGGTTTGTCAGAAGAAGAACCCTGGAATGGAGTCTCATGGAGAAAACACTGAAGAGGAGAATACATTCCATGCTGTATAGTTATCCAGTGACAAACAGATATGTAGGAAGTCAATATTATTCACGTGCTATTTTATGAATGAACCAATGATCCCATTCTCCTGTTTCCAGAGCAATCTATATATCTTTGTCAAAGTCATCCTCCTTCTCTTTTTCGAGTTTAAACTGATATATGTTTCAGCCTTGTCTTTTAAAAGTTTTATTGGCAGAGATGATGTTTCAATGTTGAATAACAATATAAGCATTATAGACAAAAAATAAAAGCCAGTCTAGTATAGTTGCTAATGTGTTGGACTCGGTGATTAAAAAAATCTGAGTTTCTATCTCTATATACCTAAAGTAATTGCTGGGCCAGTCAGTGAGTATTTTTCAGATACAACTTACCTTTTCATGGGTCTTGCTAGGCTAAAATGCTCTTTTGTGTTTCTTGGAGGAAGGATAGGATACAAATGCAGCCAATATTTATGTTTAGCACCATGTAAATAAATATCAAGCAATCTGTGCAGATGATAACTAACACATTTACCATATGCACTGGCACCAACAGTTCTGCTTAGGCAAGCCTATAAGCAGAATCTATAATGTTCAATTTTCTGAAAAAGTTGAAGAGACAAGAACAATTTTAAAAACACGTACAGTAAATATCAATAGAAAAGAATATCTGTAGCACAGGGTTGAACTGTGTAGTGCTTGGTGCTCTCTGAGCTTGGTTTTTTGCTTGCAGGCATTTTATTATCCAACTAGGTAACATCATCAGTGTGAGTGAGTGTGGGTTTTGGTCCTTGTTTATATACAGTAGCTTGCCCTGACAGGTTTGGTGGGGTATGGTTTTCTC